CCCCTTGAGCGGCTTCAACGCCGTGTGTCGTGTGTCGTTTAGATGTGTGTACCTGATGTAGCTAAGCAACACACTTGAGTCTGCGGGTTCCCTGCCTCTAGGTTCAAACGACTGCTGCTTAAGGATATTCCCATGGAAGATCCATCCTAATTAGAACATGGACAGCCATCCTAAACAGCGGCTGCCTTCAGTGCGGCCATGGATTTGGAACTGCAGTAGTCTAGAGGGGATGTGTTATAAGGGTCGTTTTATAAGGGGTCTTGCGGCTTCACAGTCGGGTGTCTGGGGAGGTTCATGGGACCAGATCCTCTCAGGTAGGGAGGGCCCACTGTTATGACAATACACGTGGCCGACCTTGGTGGATTCCATGGCAGGTGAGGGTGACCGAGGCAGGGGGAGGGGTGGAGGGAGGGGGAGGGTATGACACAAACACGTCAGGCAGACAGAGCTCAAGTGAGAAGTTTTATTAGGAAGGGGGAGGGGAGAAAAGAGGTGAAGAGACAGAGACAGAGAGAGGACAGGGGAGAAGACAAGACAGGAAAAGCCCTGTCTGCCCCAGGGGAACAGCGGGAAAGAGAGCCTAAGTGGGCGGGGGGGGGGGGGTCTGTCTTTTTGTTGTTGTTGTTTTGATTTTTTAGAGACAGGGTTTCTCTGTATTGTTTTGGAGGCTGTCCTGGAACTCACTCTGTAGACCAGGCTGGTCTCGAACTCAGAGATCCACCTGCCTCTGCCTCCCGAGTGCAGGGATTAAAGGCGTGCGCCACCAACGCCCGGTGTGGCGTCTATCTTTTAAAGGGATCCTTTGCACCTGTGTGCAGACTACTTAGCCATGAAACCCTGGGCTGACCAGGGCACTGCCTGAGTGCATTCTGCCAGGTGACCGGGGCGGGCCAGCATAATGCCCGAATCTTCACACCACTGTTTTACTCACTCAACCAGAGAGAGTAGAGCTATGTCTGCTTTCAGAAGGAGGGCCATCTCTTGCATGTAAAAAGCCAGAAGAAGCCACTTTCCAATGGAGTAAACTCTGTAAGAAAGGAGCACGTTCAAGTTGTCGTTTGCAGGAGAGCAGCTCTTGAACGAGAGGCTCTCAAGCAGGGAAGCTCTGAGGGGAAAGACTGGAAGCCGGATAGTTGATGAGTTAACAGGTGGAGGAAAGGTGTCAGAGGGGACACCCCCTCCAGAGCTGGTTTTGAAGGGGCGGGCAATGCCGTAATGAATGTGGCAAATGCGTAGCGTCTGGCTGTGTCCCTGCTCACCAAAACCTGGTACCTGGTTTGGGGTTCTTTTTGGATTAGGGGCTGTTTTTTTTTTGGTCACAGCCATCTGAGAAGTTTCTCTGCTGTGTTGGATAGTTTTGCCCAGTGATGCAAGCTAAGGTTATCTGAGAGGAGGAATCCTCAATGAAGAAGATTCTTCTGTAAGATGCAAGACAAGCCTGTAAGGCATTTTTTTGACTAGTGATTGATGGGGGTGGCCCAGTCCTCTGTGGGTTACCATCCCGGGTTGGTTGGCCTGGAATCTAGGCAAGCAGGTTGAGCTAAGCCAGTAAGCAGCACCCCCTTCCACGGCCTCTGCACCAGCTCCTGCTCCGGGTTCCTGTCCTGTTTGAGTTCCTGTCCTGGCTTCCTTCAGTGATGGACAGTGGGGTGGGAGTCAGATAAACCTTCCGCTCCCTAACTTGCTTTTGGTCATGGTGTTTCACTATAGCAATGATAGCTCCAAGGGAGACACAGGTCCTGATCGCACATCCCGAGAGAGAAAATGTGCTGAGGAGGCAAGGCTAGACCAGCCAGCCGGCTCCTACTTCCTTCGTCTCAGGCATGTGGGAAACATCACCAGTGTGATGACATCTTTCTTGGGAAGAATTCACTTAAATTTCAGTCCTGGCTCTGCCCTTCCCAGAGATGGAACTTCCTGGAACTTTGGCTTTCTTGTTTGTGACAGAGGGGCAAGAAATCCACCTCAGAGGGAACGAGGACAATTTTTAGGCTATTTATTTATTTATTTATTTATTTATTTATTTATTTTCGAGACAGGGTTTCTCTGTGGCTTTGGAGGCTGTCCTGGAACTCACTCTGTAGGCCAGGCTGGCCTTGAACTCACAGAGATCCGCCTGCCTCCTGCCTTCCCAGTGTGCCACCACCGGCTTTAAGCATTCTTTATAGTCTTCACCTGAACCCCAAGGGGTAGACCCGGTCGTTGACCACATTTTGTTTCCAAAGAAAAAGAAACAGCCTGAGGTGGGAGGCTAAGGCAGGAGGATGGCAAGTCTGAAGCCAGCAAGGACAGCTTAGTGAGTTCAAGGCCAGCCTAGATAAACAACATAATGAGACCCTGTCTCAAAAAACAAACAGAAAGTCCCGCAAAACCTAAGAGAAACCAGAACAAAACAACAAACAGACAGAAAACCTAGAAGGGACCAGAAGTATGAAGTAAGTAGCTCACACCGGGTGTGCAGTAAGCCCTGTGTGCGTGTGCCCAGCTTCTAACACTGTGTGCGCCCAGCTTCTACCCCATGCCCATTCATCTGCGGACAGGACTGGGAGCCAGTTGCAGAACAGCCTGCTATGTGATTTCCACAGGGCTTCCCTCCATCTCTCCCAAGCAGCGAGGGTACTCTGGGAAGTGCCCATGGGGATCTCCACCGTGGACATTCCCAGCTTTCAGGTCCTGCGAAATGCAGAAGTTCGAGAGGCAAAAGACCCTGGCTTAGTCCCCACAGCTTGTCCTCTGCTGCTAGACAGAGAAGCTGCAGGCTTCACAGCGCACCCGCCAGCTGTGTTCAGCCACTCCGGGTTCAGCCACTACGGGTTCAGCCGCGCCCAGCCACCCTCTTCTCACCGGGTCCTCCTTCGACTCACAAACCATGCCTTTCTGCCCCACCAAGTATCTGAAGAGGAACAGGCGCCCGCCCAGGGGTAAGTGGGTGACCAAAATCCTAGGCAGGCTGTGAGGATAGCAGCCTGGGAGCCTGGAGAGTCACCCTTGCCGGGCGAGTGGTGCTTGCTGCCTCTAAGCCAGTAAAGAGAAACGAACGAAACGACAAACGAGGGCAGACCTGCAGGCCCGTTCAGCCTGGTGCAGCCTGGCAGGATGGGCGGCTGAGGCTGCACCTCGGGGATCCTGTGCGGCTGGTCACTCACATCAAGCGGGCTGCCCTCCTGCCCGCAGTAGGTGTTGTGGGCGGTTCAGTCGCCTCATCTCGTCTAATCGTTTGTGGTCTGTGTGTGTGTGTGTGAGTGTGTGTGTGTGAGTGTGTGTGTGTGTGTGTGTGTGTGTGTGTGTGTGTTCGTCCTCTCTAGGCCAGGCTCTCCCGGTGCTTAGGTGTCACAAGACACAGACAGACAGGGTAAAGGTGGTCAGCGTATTCTGTGTGCGTGGGTGTCCTGGATGCTATGGGACAGTGACAGCTGGCGAGGAGCGTGGATGTGGTTGGAGATGAGAGGTCAGGGAAAACTCTCGAAGGTGACGTTCAAGGAGAGATGTGAGTGCCGGTGTCTGGACGAGCAGCTTCCTGGGCGCCGGGCAGGAAACAAGCAGATACAAGACCATAAACAGAGACCATGCTTGGTAGTACCGCACACCAAGAGGGGGCAGCCAGGGACAGAGGCCCCAACGATGGCGGTGGGGTAGTGTGAACAGACAGCGTGTGAAAGGAAGATCAAAGGGCCGCACAGAGACAATGGGAAACTCGATGCGAGCCTGTCACCACGCGTGTTAGCCAAGGAAAGACGGGTTTGGAGGTAGCCAGATCCACATCAACACAGGACGGAATGGTGCCCTTCCCGCCTGCCAGACTGGAAAGCCACACATGGGACACTGGGCGGGGCATGCAGAGAGCTTTTCTCTCCGTGGGGGAACGAACCGTGAGCTGCCTGAGCCCTTAGATCCACCCAGGAAACCCCTGCCGCGAGCCTAACTTCCTCTCAGAGAAAGGCTCAAGAGTATTTATAGGATTATAAGGTCCCCAAGCACCCAGCCGTTGAGAAACCACAGTGCCTGGCACCTACTCAAAAACATCAGGAATTCGAAGAAGCAGGAAAATAAGGCCCAGAATGAGAGGACACGTCAACAGTGAAAACGACGGAAAAGTCACACATTTTAAGATTAGCAGACTGAGACATTAAAACAGGATTTTTTATAGCTGAATTCAGTGTGTCCTAAGAGCTCACTTGAGACCTGAGAGATACATAAACTCATGATGCTGATGAAAGGCCAAATCATGTTTCTGGGAGCAAGCCTCTGCAGAATCGGAGAGAAACTCAAATGGGATGAGCAGGGAAGGTGCAAGATTGCTGAGCTTGAGGCAGTAGAAACTACGGGTGTCTGCTATTATTGGGGGGTTTGTTTATTTGAGGGGACTGGGTCTCACTAGGCCTGAAAATCTATAGCCCAGGCCAGCTTCACACCTGTGAATCTCCTGCCTCAGCCTCCAGAGTACTGGGATTACAGGTGTGTGCCACCATGTCTGCTTTTGAGGCCATTTTCTGCTGGTGCTGTGACAAGTCACAAAATCAGTGGCTTAAATAACAGCTTGAATCTGTGTGATGTCTGTGGTTCTGGAGGCTCCAGGTCTGGTTTCAGTCAAGGGGCCTGTAATCTTGGTGCTTATACGGTCATGTGTGGGGTGGTCAGCCACACTGTAGGTCAACCGCATGCACAGAGTGTCACCCACAGGGGTGACACTGATTTAGGCAAACACAGTGAGCTACTCTAGGGATTGAACTTCTCTGGGCTTCCCTGAAGTAGGCATTTCCCCCTGGTAGAGTCCTGTTATACTTTCAATGACTTCTGTTTCGATACGGAAACCAATGAACAAATACTAACAAACCAAAGTGAGAGCAAGGAGGGAAAAGAGAAGCCAGGGAGGCCCCCATGGAAAGGTGTGCAGGGGCGCTGGACGACAGCTGAGCTGAGCTCACAGGTCTGGAGCGGGAGTCCCGCCGTCCTACATGGGGACCCGCAGTAAGCCTTGTCTCTCTCTCCCTGTCTTGCAGGTGGTGCCGGGGAGCGAGAGAAGGTGCCAGCCAACCCTGAGGCGCTCCTGCTCATGGCCAGCTCCCAGCGTGATATGGAGGACTGGGTACAGGCCATCCGCCGTGTCATCTGGGCCCCGCTGGGCGGAGGTACTTCCCGTAGCTCGCATGCCCACCCTGTAGAACCCTTGTCTGCAGGTAATCTTGTCCTCTTGCCTGAATCCACACGTTCTCTCTCACTTGGGACTTGCTGGCTGCACTGTGCATGTCTGACGGCAGCCTGGTCCTTTCGCTACTGTCACTGAAATCGTGCCTCCCACGTAGTTCATAGCCCACTGGCGGGGGACACAAGTCTCGGGATATAGGCCTGTGGCCTTTACATGCTGGTCTCCTTGCATCTAGACACCCTGCTGAGTGCTGAGTGGTCTTCACACAGAGTGCAGGTGGGCCACACGTTACCCGTGTTCTAGACACCCTGCTGAGTGCTGAGCGGGTGGGCCACACATTACCTCACTCTTCACCACTCCCTTTTCCTAGGCCTCCCTGCCACACTGCAGCCCGAGCCTGACCCCCGTGCCCACTTCCTGTCTGTAACCCGCCGTTGGCTTGTGTGTCCATTCAAAGCATTCAGTTAGCGGTAAAAGACACCTGGTCTATTCCCGGCACTTGGGAATTCAGCGGTGAACAGAGCAGGTCTTGCCCCTGGCTGCCACGCCTTAACTGTGTGGCCCAGTCTCTAGACAGGACAGACGAGTGCACGTGTCCGAGGGTGTTCGTGAGTGAGAGACGCAGGGCAGCCAAGGGACTGAGCATGAGGACAGTGGGAGGGGCCTAGGTGAGAGAGGTGGCTGGGGAGAGGGACCCTGGAGGGCAGTGCTCAGACACCACTGTGACTGGAACAGGACAGCGGGGATGTGTGGTGAGCAGGCCATACATGGGCCTGGACTTAGATCGAAAGCCTTTTAGTCACCACACGAGGGGTGGATCACAGAGACAAGAGTGGCCACAGCAGGCTGGGACAGGGAGACAAGCAGAGATGAGGGGACGGCTGGGGTGGCTAGCCGCAGATGAATTCTAAAGGGACGGCTCTGGGCTTTGCCCAGGTCTAGTTCTGGAGGAAAAGAAGCAAGTGCTGCCTCCAGACACAGGGCTGCCTCAGTAGGTTGTTGTGCACATGAAGGAATCCTGAAAGAGTGTTCGGGACAGTGTCGCCACGCTGCGGGGAGGGGAAGGAAGGAAGGAAGGACTCCCTGCAGAGCACGGGGACCCAGAGCCTTCTGGCAGGCTGGTAGCCATGGTGTGAATATCCTTTCCCCTGTCATATTTGTCAGGCTGGGGCAGACCCTCACCTTTGGGGGTTCCAAGCCCATATCCAGAACTGACAAGCCCGTGCCCTCCGCCTTCTACCTCACAAGCTCTCCTCTCTTGTTGCTGGCTATGTCCTGCCCCTGCAGCCTCAAAGGTAGCCAAGGAACAGAGCAGAGTCCAGAGCAGACATCATGTGCTTGGACTGTGGCCCGTAAAAGGCAGTTGAGCGTCAGAGGGAATTTACAGAGAGGACTAATAATCTACGCTGAGTAAACCAAAGGACATGAATTCTATAAAGGTCAATTAAGAGGTTATAAAGGAAAGCGTCGAGTTAAGGAGAAGATTTTTGTAACATGTGACCCATCACGATTCCCAACTCAGTAAAGAAAGATGAGCCAATAGAAACGTGGGCATGACTTGAATGGGCAAACCTTGCAAAGAAGCAATCCTCATGGCATGTGAACCCGGTGAGTGGGCTCAAGCTCATTGGTCACCAAAGATGTGTGAATTAAGTCTGGCGGAACATCTACTTGTCACCCTAGGAGTCGCATGTGTCAGAGGGAAGTTGCATGGAGGTAAAGTCACTGCCCTGACACACAGAGCTGCAGTTGTTTGGGTGACCGGGGCTTAGCTTGAGGTGTGCATTAGATGCTGAAGTTGGGTGTCAAGTAAGCGCCTACACACTTATGTCTTGTAGTCACGGGGATGGGACCAGGCTGGGAGGAGGATTGTCAGGCTGCTGGCCTCATGAGAGTGGATGAGACCCCAGGACGCAAGTGTGGGAATCCCTTGCACTACCCACAGGTAGGAAGTCATGAGCAGCTGGGGCGTTGGTGGCGCACGCCTTTAATCCCAGCACTCGGGAGGCAGAGGCAGATGGATCTCTGTGAGTTTGAGGCCAGCCTTGAACCTACAGAGATCCGCCTGCTGGGATGAAAGTGTGCCACCACCGCCTTAATTCCAACACTGGGAAGGAAGAGAAAGGAGGATTTCCTCAGACTCACTGGCCAGCCAACCCAGTCTAAAATGGCAAACTCCCGTACCTCTGTGAGAGTGTGTCTCAAAATTCCTGAGGAACGGCACTTCACATTGACCTACATGTGCCTACGTGTGCCTACGTGTGTGCCTATGTGTGCCTACCTGTGCCTACGTGTGTCTACGTGCGCCTACGTGTGTCTGTGTTTGCCTACGTGTGCGCCCTACCACCACACATACGGGGCTGGAAAGAGGGCTCCATTGGTAAGATGCTCATCATGCAAGTATGAGGACCTGAGTTTGATTCCCGGCAACCACATATAAGTTAGACCTGGCAGCGCGAGTCTGTAGTCTCAGCACTGGAGGATCCACTCTAGCCTAGGCAGTTACGTGAGAGACCCTATCTCAAAGTAAGGGGCGGCTGCCAAGATGGCTGAAGGCACCACCAAACCTGACGACCTGAGTTTGACCCCCAAACTCACCTGGTGGAAGGAGAAAGCAAACTTGCTCAAGTTGTCCTTTGGCCTACACACACACACACACACACACACATACACACACACACTCACACACACAGACACACACAGACACAAACAGATACACACAGACACATACACTCACACACACAGAGACACACACATAGACACACACACACAGACACACACATAGACACACACAGACACACACACAGACACAGACACACACACAGACACACACAGACACACACACACACACGTACTGGAGGTGCTGGCTTGGCTATTAGGCAACACTAATGAAGAGAAACCCTACTGGAGACGGGAGACAGCGTCTCTATTTATTCACAGTATGAACCTTTCCCCCTCCTCCTCCCTGATCTTAAAAAAAAAGATCTTTTTAATCTTCATTTTTGTGTCTGTGTGCCATGTCTTCATGGTTACCCATGGAGGCCAGAAGATGATATCGAATCTCCTGGAGCTGGGTTACATGCAGTTGTGAATTTCTTGATAAAAGGTGCTCAGAGTCAAACTCGGGTCCTCTGGAAGAGCAACAAATGTTCTTAACCACTGAACCGTGTTCCCTCCATTCCCAACGTGGTGTTATACATAGAAAGTCCTCAGAAATCTACCCCAAATCCACTAGAACCTATAAAAACAAAACAAAAACCAGCCAGTTACTGGTGGTGCCTTTGTTTCCCAGCACTTGGGAGGCAGAGGTGGTGGATCTGTTCCAGGTCTTTCTGGTCCACAGAACAAGTTTCAGGACATCTGGGGCTACATGGAGAAATCCTGTCTCAGAAAACAAAACAAAACAACTCAGTAGTTTTGCAGAATAAAGATCAACGTATAATAATCAATTGTACCTGTATTCAGTAGCAGTCATAAAATAGAAAATGAAATTAGGAACATTTCATTTGCAATAACAACCGAAAGAATAAAACACTTAGAAATGCATTTAACTTTTACCCTAAAAACAGCAAAGCAAGTATAAAAAAAAAAACAAACAGCAAAGCGTTGTTGAAACTGAACACTCAGGTCAGCAGGCAGGTGTCCCGTGTCTGTGCATTGAAAACTTTCCATTAGGAAGAGGGAGCATTTGGGGCCAAGAGCTAAGAGTGCTTGCTGCTCTTTTTTTTTTTTTTTTTTTTTTTTTTTTTGGTTTTTACGAGACAGGGTTTCTCTGTATTGTTTCGGAGGCTATCGGTCCAGTCTGGCCTCGAACTCACAGACATCTGCCTGCCTCTGCCTCTCGAGTGCTGGGACTAAAGGCATGCGCCACCACCGCCCGGCAATGCTTGCTGCTCTTGACAGACCCGAGTTCAGTTCCCAGCACCCACACCCGGCAGCTCCCGGTCACCTGTAACTCCAGTTCAGGGGACCCAATGCCCTCTTTGAGCCTCCACAGGCCCCTGTACTCAGGAGTACAGACATACACATAGACACACTCGTGTTTACACTTAAAAATAAAATCTTGCATTTGAAAAGGAGGGGCCATCCCCAGCCCAAACATTGGACTTCTGCACCAAGTTAAAGGAGGACACATTGCCTGAGAATCATTCGGGAAGGACGTGCCAGCTTCTCTGTAAGGAGAGATAACAGTCAGATGTCTCAGGGTCTGATGATAGGTGGCCAGCCCTTGAACCCTGGGATTTATGTGCACATGGAAGGTGCTTAGGGAAGCTAGCTGTGGCATCAGGTTTTGATCTGGGTGTGATCTAGCTCTGCTGTTCTGAACCCTTGACAGTTCTCTGGAACTGTGTGATGACTGCACCCTACAGGGCCCTACCCCACCCACCCACTGTTACCCCCTGCCCCCTGGACTCCACATAGCTTATCAACTCTGCTCTCTGGTCACCTTTACTTATCCTTCCCTTCTTCTTATGCCCTGGCCACCCTTAACTCTTCCTTCATCTGTCCCTTCAAATACTGGGGTACCTTTGTAAGAACAGTGTTCAGCGCTGGAGGATTGTGGAGGAGCTGGGTACCCACAGCGGTTAGGGTTACTCAGGTACAGGTGTCTCCTCACACCAGGGTGTGAGCGACACAGCCCCAGCATCCTGGACTGGTGTGGTGTGTAGGGGCGTGTGAGCATCGGAGCCAGCGGCTGGAGAGTTGGAGCCGCTGAGAAGGTACAGCCGAGCAGAGGCGGCAAAGGGGACGGTCCTCCAGCCAACTCCAAGCAGCCTGCTCATGCAGCCCGAGAAGGACCCTGTGGACCACTGCTTTTCAGCCTATCATACCCTGCTTCTTCTACACAGGCATTGCACCTTAGGTTTGGACCAATCCCGGCCTGGCTGCTAGTCACGATTTTCCCTTCACCAAGGGAAGTGCACCCCCTCTGGCCAAAGTGGGAATGGTTTCTGAAGGTTCCTGGTTGCAAAAGCTCAGCCACACTGTCTCAGACAGCTCTGGGTGGCGCTGGGCCTACGGGGGCAGGGAGAATCGGCTACAGTTTGTGACGTGGTTGGCTCAGTGCACCCATGGACCAGTTGGTGCTGGTGTGATGGTGGTTGCTCCGATAGTGCGACCTATAGTCTTCTTGGTCAAGGCAAGGACAACATAAGAAAGAGCCTAGCAGCTGCTAGTTAGTCCTGTTCCTTATTCCTGGTGCCTTTGCCTATTTCCAGGAAAATGAGCATCAGGAGGAATACTTACAATCAAAGCCAAAGAACTTACCATTAGCACCAACAGCCATTGTGAGAGGGTTCGCACCTGCTGGGTGCCCAGGGAAAGTTAGTCGGAAGCTTTTGGGTTTGGTTTGCTAATAGTCACCATCATAGTGGGTATGAAGTGGCGTTTCATTGCTTAAACAAAGTGTTGAAAGAAGGCCAAAGCCAGCCAGGGGGATGTCTGGTGGGAAGCTGCTAGACCCTGCCTTAGCCCTGGCAGAAGGGAACACTGACTGGGAGTCAGGTGGTGGGTGAGCGTATCCTGGCTCCCTTCAGGATATGGGCTCTTACTCCTCAGGGAGATGGGGAGAGAGCATTGGCAAGTTCTGAGGCAGAGAATGTGATGGTCTGACATTCAGTTTTGAGGGGACCTCTGCCTGCTCCCTGGACAGGCAGCAGGGGTTGGGAATCTGGACTATCCGTGCAAACCTGCAGCTCTTCTCGTGGGCCTGGCTGGTGAATTGAGCAGATTCAATGCTGTTGAGAAACGGAGTGATGGGATCTCCAGGATGTGAGTGTGAGAGAGGGAGGTGTGGACCTTGACTCCAGGAATCGTGCTGAGCATCCTTCGAGGACAGAGGTCAGGGACCGTTAAAGAGGAACATGGAGCAGGCTGGGGGCGTTGTGAGAGCACAGCTGTCTGGACACATTTGGGCTTGAACTATCTGTGAGTCTGTATAGGCAGCTAAGGTAGGAGTCAGAGGGCTCCATATCTCGGCCTCTCTGGGAGACTCGAGAAGACAGTCTTATTTCTAATGCCAGTGAATGTTGACCTGCCAGGTTAGTGAGGCTGAGCCTGGGCTTTGGTCCCTTGAACCAGGTTCTGATGCCATCTGCCCATTCTAGTGAGACGTGAAGGTTCAGACGCCAGGTGGAGCCTGGGATCCTGGTCTGATACAGGGCAGGTGGGGCATCCGCAGGGCCTAGGGACTGGTTCACAGTGCCCTTGGGTCTCCTTTCCTGAAGCACTTGAGGCCTCTCCCCTAAAAGAGCTCCAGAAGCTCACGGTTTGGAATCCACAGGTCAGGGGAGACAGGTGGAAGCCACTGTTCCAGGCACAGCAGAGTCAGTTGGACCTTCTGCCAGGAACACCAAAGCCAGAGTCTTTCCATCCTCAACTAGCTCAAACCTGCCAAGCCCATTTGGCTGTGTACGGTGAGGAAGTCACAGGTTCCAGGAAAGGACATGGACATCAGAGTACCCCATCTGAAAAAAAAGACGGGACGTGACAGCTCAGCCTGTCTTCATTTTCTTTGATCATTGTGGATTTTTTTTTGCATTAAGGTTTATTTTCATATTGTTTTTGTTGTTTTGAGTCAGGGTCTAGCTACATAGGCCTGGCTGCCCTGGAACTCACTATGTAGATCAGGCTGACCTCACAGAGATCTGCCCACCCCTTCTGCCCGCCCCTCCCCCTTCTGCCTCCCCAGTGCTAGGATTAAAGGCAGGCCCACCTTCTACCCACATCTGGCTCAGGGGTATTCTTAAAAATATTGCCAAGGGTTGTGCATCTTGGTTCTTGGAGCAGCTCAAACGATTCCCTTGGTCCTTACCCAAGCCATCTCCTATTAAATCTGGGATGGTTCCTTGCACACCTAGCCTGAAGAGGAGCCCCATTCCCCCAGACTCGGGCTTTCTTCCTCCCCCTCTCCCCATCCTCCATCTCTGTCTGGTCTGCTTCTGTCCACCGGCCTCCTGGTATAGGCTGACCCTGTGCAACACTCAGAAACATAGGACTGTAGACTCTTCTCAAGCCACCCTGAGAATTTAGGCTTTGCAGGAAGACATTTTTGGAATGATCTGTCAATTCTCAGCTAAGAGACCCCAGGCAAATCCCATAACCCACCCGAGCCTCTACAGCCTCTTGTAAAACTGGGTTAGTTATCTTTTAGATCTGTTCAAGGAGACAAGGTCAAAGCCAGACTGTTGCCCCAGCCCTAGGGATAGGGATTGGTTTCAAGGGGGTCAAAGACCTGGAAAGCCTGGAGCCTGGAACCCTCCCACCCCCCACGCCAGCGTTGCTTTAGGTCAGGCATTGATGCTGGGCTGGCAAGGTGATTCAGACCCAGTTGCCCAATCCTCTGGCCTCCCTTGCACCACCTGGCCTGCGTGTGCGTGGGTGCTCCAGAAGTGGGTCCCCAGCTAGGAGGAAGTGACCACGTGGGGAGCTGCGACGAACTCAGAGCGCCTGATACCGAGGCACGGAAAACGGGGTGCGCACCGGGAGCTCCCAGCGCTGGGAGCTGCCTGGCAGGAGGCATCTCAGGCACTCGATCCTCCCTCCCTCGCCTCGGGTCCGGCCCCGGGCGGGCGGCTCTGGCCGGGCGGGCGGCGGGCAAGACGCTACCTGTGCGCGTGCCGGGCATTCCTGCTGCCGCCGCGCCGCCCGGGCGCGCCATGGGCCTGATGCCGGCTGCGCGAGCTTTCTCCAGCTGCCGCGTCTGCCCACGGCCGCCCTGCCGCCTGCCCGCCTGCTGCGCGCCCGCTGCCCCAGGTAGGGGCTCGACGGGATGCGGGGCTGGTGTGTGTGTGTGTGTGTGTGCGTGTGCGTGTGCGTGTGTGTGTGTGTAAGGTAGGTTGGCCGCATCGCAGGGCCCGGGGATCCTGAACCGGTACCGAGGGGGGCTGCGACAGTGTACGTGCCTGTAGGTAGGAAGAGAGAACTGGAAGGTGCGTGTGGGGGGGGGTTCCACCCATTCATTATGTCGGGGGTGAGAGCTGTGTGGAGAGATGGGAAACTGAGTCTAGGAATTTACAAAGATCTTCCCCATCCCCTACTGCTCAGAGACCTAGTACCAGGTGGGTCCAAGGCACTGACTCCAAGCCCAATTGGTGGCCTCTGGAAAGCCACCGGCGGGAGGAGGGAATCGGTTTGCCTTGGGGACTGCCCGACTTTGGGCAACCCTATTCTTTAGGACCTTAACCTGTGGCGGTTTTCCAGTTATGCCGGGGGCAAGTTAGAAGGGGTTTCCAGTCCCTTCCTGATCTGAGACTGTCTCAGCAGGCAGGGATGAAAGGACAGTTGGTGATCCGATCAAAGGGAAAGAGGATATTCAAAGAGTTAGTGCATGCAGCTCGCAGATTGAGAGAGAACCAACGAGCAAGGACAGCCTGTAGCCAAGAGGGAGACTGTAGGCTTACCCAACGTTTGCAAGCCTCTGGGGAATTTTCTCGTTGTGCCTCCCTCCTGACTGTGGCCTCCTCCACACTGGGGAGTGCCAAAGGCAGACAGACAGTGGCCAAGCCGACCTGCTGCCTCAGCTCTGGGACCAGATCCAGGAGGGAATCCCAGTGGCCCTCCGTTCCCTGGCAGGAACCCTCCCCCAGAGGGTAAGGAGAAAACTACTAGGTACTCTGTGTTGGTGCTGTAGTTCACCGGTGCACGTAGCTCAAGACTTGGCAGGGAGGTTGAGGGCCACTTCCAGGGTCTTCTAGAATGAGTTCTAAGCAGCAGCTGGGGCAGGGGCTTCCACTCCTGCTGGAGATTCTGAGATATACTCACTCACTGGAGGCGTGCAGGCTCCTCTAGAGGGAGCAGCTGTTAGGCAGAAGCTGTGGCCGCAGGTCCATCCTAGGAAAGCCACCTCTGCCAGCTCCCTCTCAGTTGGCAGAGTGGGCACTTTGTGACAAGTGTGGGCTGGGACCTCTAGGAACCACATACCGGCTGGGTTTCCAGCAGCACGACAAGCCTACTGGAACTGGTTCTTGGCATATTTCCAGTCTCAGACTTGCCAGGAGGGCTCTGGGAGTTCGGCAGGTGGGGCTAGGCCCCACAGGGTCTGTGAGAGAGACTGAGGCAGAGAAAGTGGTGGGCGGGGCCACTGGGAAGGGAGGCTGCCCTTGGCCTGAACATGGCTGGCCTACAGCAGGGGCAGCTGGCAAGGAAGACTCAGGAGGCAGAGCAGGAATGGGGGCTGGATTTTTCCTTTCGAGAGTTCAGTGGAGGGGGGGATGCCTTGGGATCGTGGGTCCATCTTGGGCCTCAGGACAGACTTCGAACACAGATGTTCCCTCACTCTGTAGATGGAGACAGAGGCCTGTAGTCTACTGGTTTAGCCACATGTTGCCTAGAACCTGTGTCGCTTTGGTCTTATTCCTTGCCTGTCTGTGCCCCCACTTCATGGCATCTGGGGGTCAGCGCTCACACGGCCGACCCCTTGTCTCCTCTCCAGGCATACTTCCTCATTCCCACCTCCCGACACCAGGTGCCTTCTGTCACAGCTACCCCACTGACCCCCTAGTCCCCTTCCTCATACTCAATCATAGCTACCCCACTGGCCCCCAGCCCCCTTCCTCATACTCAATCACAGCTACCCCACTGAACCCCAGCCCCCTCCCTCATACTCAATACGTCTCCTCTGTCACCTCCTTCTCCAAACCTCTTCTGCTTTGAAGTGCATAAACCTCCTTGCAGCTTTCCCACTGCTGGATTGCTGCCCTGTTTGGGGTCAGGGAATGTTCAGGAAGTCTTCAGTGGGAGGCAGGGGTTGGGAGGGGCTGTTACAGACAGACCTGCCAAGACTGGGTGCTGTGTGGACAGATGGGCTTGTCTAGGTTTTGTGCCTAGGGGCTGGTGGAGGCCAGCAGGGCAGAGCTTGCCTGGTTAGTACAGTGAAGACCATAGGGGGTGGGGTGGGTCCTGGGTAGGGGCATGCTCTCAGCCCTGAGTGGCCCTGAGACTTTTTAGGATGGCAGCCCCCATTGTATCCACAAGTTTTACTTTCCAGGGTCCTTCCCGGTGGCCACCCGCAGCCTGAAAATACTAAGTGGAAAATTCCAGAAGCAAACAGCTCATGTTTTAAATTGTGGCTTGTGATGAAATCTGGACCCTCCCACTCTACCCTGTCCGGGATGTGAATCATCTTTTGGGGTGTTTTTTTTTTTTCTCTTTGTGTCACCTGCCTGTCAGATCAGCTGTCATGGTGCTGTAGTGCTATTCACATAACCTTTATTTTATTCAACAGTGACCCCAAGCTCAAGAGTAATCCTGGCAATCTGAGTAGTTGCTCCTTTAAGTGAAAAGTGTATGAGTCCAAAGAGATGTGTTCAGAGATGGGATGTGGGGAGCAGGGGCACCCGCATTTTCGCTCTAGTGTGTTGTTAAAAGTTGTTCTGTTTTGCCGGCTACTTAGTTCAGGTCCAAAAGGCTGTCTGTGGTGCCTGCTAGCATACCACAGCAGCGCCTGCTGGCCCCCAGGCTCCCTCAGCATGGCGAGCAGGCACCTGGTTCTTCTCACCCCCCCTCCAGCCTAAACTTCTCCAGCTCCTGGGTTCCCTCCCCAGCTCCTCATTCCCTTGTAACTCTGCTGTCTCAGCCACGCCCTTGCTTTTGTCACCCTCTCTTGGCCCCTCCTCCTCGCCCCTCCCCCTTACTCTCCTCTCTCTCTTCCCTTCTGTCTCTGGTGGCCAGGTCCAGTCTGCTGGGCGTGCTCAGTTTACTACCTTCTCCCTGCTCTGGATCTCCAGATGCCTCTGGCTGCCCTCTCCCTCGCATCCACAATAAAAACCTCCCCTTAACCATACCTTGCAGTGGTCACGTCCTCAGTTTGTATGTCTGGTGCCGCAACCCTTAGTCTATGCACTTAGATCATGGTCTGCTTAGGGGACGGTGTTGTCTGCAGCTTCCCTGGGGACCTGGGATTGCCTCCCCTGAGGACAGGGGTCCTTCCTATATCCTCACTCCTCCACTTCTGCCAGTGGCCCTGTAGACAGGAGCGCCTTCAAGGCTGTGACCCTGGGGGGGGGGGCTATACATGGGCGTTGTGGAATATTATTAGTTTAAGATGTGTTACATCCGTTTATGCTGTGGAGCATTTGTTTAGTGATGCAAAGATGTGTTGCATGCTTTTATGGTGCCCTTGTTTAACTCTGTGAAGCTGTGCTGCTTTGCCTGCCTAAAACACCCGATTGGTCTAACAAAGAGCTGAATGGCCAATAGCTAGGCAGAAGAGGGGTAGTTGGGGAGGGGAGTGAGAAAAGGAGAAAGAGAGGAGGACGCCAGGGGCCAGCTACCCAGCCACACAGCCAGCCACAGAGTAAGAAGGAAAAAAGATAGACTAAAGAAAGGTAAAAAGCCCAGTGGAAAAACATTAAAGAGTTACAGAGAAATGGGATGATTTAAGTTAGGAAAGCTGGACTAGCAACAAGCCAAGCTAAGGCCAGGCATTCATTAAGTAAGAATAAGTCTCCATGGATTCATTTTGGAGCTGGGTGACAGGCTCCCTAAGAATAAAAACAAACAAACAAACCCAGCTTCACATGGGTGTGGCTGTGAGAGCTGACGTTGGAGAGGCTGAGGAGTGAGTAAAGCTGAATGAACCAAAGGTCTGTATGAGTGTTGGGGAGGAGGCCATGCCAAGTTCCCCCCGCCCCACTCAGGGACGCTTTGTTCATGGGCTCTTCCTCTGTACGTCCTGTGCCTGCTCACGAGAAGTCATGGTGCTTCTGGTTACCACAGACATGGCTTCCCTCTGTGGGCTGGGCCCCCTTCCCCACTTACCCAGACTCTAGTGTCATTTGGGACATCTGTGCGTCACAAGCTTAAAGTGGAAGGGGCAAATGAATGCCTCAAAGCATGGGGTGGGGTAGGAGGCAGCAGGGCGCACTGTGGGCGGCAGAGGCCAGGCGGTGGGCTTCCGTCAGGGTTACTTCCGTCACCCCTGCCCTGAGGAAACTTAGGCCCTGTTGCCACCGTAAGCACAGGTATCTCAAGAGAAACTCGAGATCTGGGGTGCAACTCAGAGACAGAAAGCTTGCCTACACTGTGCACCTCAAAACAAAGAAGGAGAGAAGGAGAAAAAAGCTAATTAAAAAAATGTCTCGCCGGGCGGTGGTGGTGTGCACCTTTAATCCCAGCACTCAGGAGGCAGAGGCAGGTGGATCTCTGTGATTTTGAGGCCAGGCTGGACCGACAGCCTCCAAAACAATACAGAGAAACCCTGTCTCAAAAAGCCAAAAAAAAAAAATGTCTCCATGACGATAGGGGGTAAACTCGTGCATCCCAGGCCCTGAGTGTCAGCGACCGAGACCTCACTGAGAGAAAGAGAGCAGGGTCTCTCTGTCCTCGGACCAACCAGCTCTAACCCCAAAGGCTGGGATACTGTTAGGGGAGACTCAAGGCCTCCTGAGTCTGGCCTACTTTGAGTTGCCCGAGTAGCCAGCTTGTCCCTGGGCTCCAGGCTCTGAGCCTTCCCCGTGGTCAGGGGACTAGCCCGCCAAGCCCCAGAAGAGGCAGGCTTGTCCCTTGTCCAGTGTCACTTCCTCTGCTGTGTCCATGGGACCTACGGCTGGGTGTTTCCATTCCAGTGTGGGTGGCGGTGGCAGAAGAGCTGGGACGTTTGCTGTGCCCAGAGCCACACTGAGTGGGCTGCACTTGGACCCTGCCACAGGCTCGCTCACATGTTCACACGCACAAACAAAACCCAAGCTGCTTGTGCACAGGGTGCGCACCTTTCCCTAAGAATTGATGGTGTCCACCCGATGTGTCCTGAGGGCTTTCCCGGAGAGGGGGTGCAGGGGAGGGGGCTTCTTCCTCCCCTGTTGCGCATGCTTTGTTTCCGGATCGGGCAGCGCAGAGCAGCATTGGCAGCGAGCTCCCTAGGGACAGATGCATCTTTATTTGTAGTGCTTGGAATGGACCGCAGGGTCTCATGAATGCTGGGCAAAGGCTTTGCTGCCAAGCCACACTCAGCCCGGGGACTGATGTCTTATTTCTAAGCTGCCCTGGAATGGGGAGTGAAGTTGGTTGGCGAACGGGTGGTTGAACTGGGCTGACTGGTGATCCAGGTCCCACAGAACTACAGCCCTTACCACAGTGGAGCTCTGACCCCCATATGCCCCGAAGGTCTCCTTCAGGGTAAGTCAGCACAGTGAGGATGTGAATAACACTAGATAAAGACCAGCCTGCCTAGAGCAGTGGTCTCAACCCCTTTGGAGGGTTGCACATCAGATATTCACATTATGATTTATAACAGCAGCAAAATTACAGTTACGAAGTAACAACAAAAATAATTTTATGGTTGGGGAGTCACCGTGACTGTATTAAAGGGTCACAGCATTGGGAAGGTTGAGAACCACTGGCCTAGAGCGTAAGGCTGTGAGAGTTTCTCTGGCTGCTTGCCCATCAGGCAGAGACATTTACAGGTCTTGGCTCCTTAGTCTCTTTGCCTGGGCAAGGGAACTCCTAGTCTTGTTGTGTATCGAATTATCAGTGTTGGCCAGAAATTCCGCTGCCCTCCTCTCTCCTGGTCTTCTAACCCACAGATGCTGTCTAGTCCTGGTTAGATATCTGGATTCTTTCTGATTTTGTTTTCTTGAGCTATGGCATATTAGAAAGTGTACAAATCACCCAGGTCCTGTTCAGTGGCCTTGCTTTATTTAAGTGTGTGTGTCTGTGTGTGTGTGTGTGTGTGTGTGTGTGTGTGTGTGACTGGGTTAGTGTGTCAGGTTAGGGCCTATGAGTGCTGAGGCACGTCTGGTCACCGAGTCACTAAGAGCCAAGTTCTGGCCTGAAATCACTGTCAGCTGGACTTGTTTGTGGTTTCACCTGAACGAAGTTCCATGGGATGGACTCGGGAGCTCATTTATTTTGCTTATGATGATGCTTTTGGTTTTTGTTCTTTTTTTAAAAAGATTTATTTATTTATTATGTATACAGTGTTCTATCTGTATGTATTCCTGCACACCAGAAGAGGGCATCAGATCCCATTACAGAAGGTTGTGAGCCACCATGTGGGTGCTGGGAATTGAACTCAGGACCTCTGAAAGAGCAGCCTGTGCTCTTAACCACTGAGCCATCTCTCCAGGCCCTGGATTTTGTTCTCGAGGATTTTCATAAATTACCCCTACTTCCCCATCTGCTTCACCCATCTTTTAAAGCTCAGTAGCACCAACCTTCCGATGGTGGCGACACCATCCTCCCCCATCTTCGAAGCTGGATCACTGAACGGCTTCATTCACCTCCCTCTCTGCCCCTGCAACCGCCATTCCGCTTCCTGCTCTGAGTGTGACAGTGTAGGAATCTCTTACAAGTGCGGTCACACACCTTTTGTCCCTTTTGGGGATGCCTTATTTTGTGTAGTGTCTTCTGGATTCCTGTGTGCTGTAGCCCCGGTGAGGGGGGGTCTCACCGTGCAGGTAGGGCGCACTGTACGTACTGATGGGTGGCTGAGTGCCTCCCACCTTGTGCTGCCATGCGTAAAGCTGCGGTGCGTGCGCGTGCGCACACAGGGTCCGCACCCCGCCTTCAGTTCCCTTCCTGTGTCTGACCGGAGCTGGAATAGTTTGTACAGCGATCCGGTTCTCAGTTCCCTGGAAGACCCACCACGCTGCATGTGTGTCCCAGCGGCACATCTCCCGCCCCCTCCAGGGCTTCATTGCCCTTCCCTGAGCAGCGCATGGGGCTAGCTCCACCTCTGTACCAGCCTCCCCAGTTTCTCTTCTTTCCACAGTAGCGTCTGAGCGATGTGAGGCAGTGTCTTGTGTGTGTTTTCTCTCTCTCTCTCTCTCTCTCTCTCTCTCTCTCTCTCTCTCTCTCTCTCTCTCTCTCTCTCTCTCTCTCTCTCTCTCTCTGTCTCTGTCTCGTGTGTGTGTGTGCGCGCGTGTGCGCGCGTGCATGTGTGTTATAGTATACATGTGAGGACAGATATCAACTTTGATCATCTCTTCTTGGGGACAGGGTTTCTTGTTCACTGCTGTGAATGCTAGGTTAGCTGGGAGTTTTCAGGGATCCTCCCATCTCACCGTAGGGGCACTGGGATTACACTCGTGCTGCCGTGCCCAGTTTTGCGTGGATCTGAACTAAGGGCCTCACATGTATGTGTTGGGAGCTTTACCCGCTGAGCCCGCTCCCCAGAGCTCATGCTCGTTGCATCATTTTGATGATGTTGAATGGGATGACGTTTTTCACATCAGTGTGTGAACAGCCTCGTCCTGCCTCTCCTTTGCAGCAGCGCCTAGGGGACTGACCCATGAGGGATCTGCTCATTTTCTTGTGCCTGCGGAAAGCACAGATAGTTTCCTATCTGGAGTGACTTCCAAGTCCATCAACACAATACAAGCACATGCTCTCTCAGGGCCAATTCCTCCTGGCTTGGGCAAACCCACTGCTGCCCTAAACCCTGACTAGCCACCTGGTGGGCCCTCCTAGTATCTAATCGGTTTCCTTGCGGGGAGTCTCTTTGGCACACACAGCATTCTCTGCCATCCATTGTCCCAGGCACTCTTCACCCACCATTGAGCAGGGCGGCAGGGGAGTGTGAACAGTCCGTTTCTGTGTCCAGGGATCTTTGGGCAGCGGCTGGAGGACACGGTGCACCATGAGAGGAAGTATGGTCCCCGTCTGGCACCTCTGCTGGTGGAGCAGTGTGTGGACTTCATCCGGGAGCGAGGACTCAGCGAAGAGGGTCTCTTCCGTATGCCCGGCCAGGCCAACCTGGTGAGGGACCTGCAGGATTCCTTCGACTGTGGAGAGAAGCCACTGTTTGACAGGTGAGCCCCCGGGAACAGGGCAATTATAAATGGAGTTCTTAATTGTTCTAGATAATAAAAAGCCGGAGTCAGATATAGAGGGAAACGCTGAGAGACTAGAGAGAAGGAGCAAGCCACAGCACACCTTACCTCCTTAGAGTCTTACCCGACAAGAGAGATTTCCTGTTTCTCCCTGCTTATATCCTGTTTCCACCCAGCTGCCTCACTTCCTGTCAGCCTGTGCAGACCTCCAGACCTCTGGTTAGCTGGTGGCAGGCTCCATTCTCTGACCTTCAGGCAGGCTTTATTTGTACAAACGAGATATCGCCTCCGGCAGTAGAGGTGAAACAAGTCACTGAGTCTCCTATAGTTTCCTCCCTGACACCAGCTTCTCTGATCAGGCAGGGCCTGTGTGGTGGCTGCCCAGTCTGCGCAGAGGGCGGAGTACCAGGGCACGGAATCATGCTGGTTCCATGGTCTTCTTGAGGTTGTCTGCCACAAGCAAGGTCAGCCATGTGCTAGTCTCCACAGTTCCCTGACCCAGGTAAAGGGAAAAGGCCTCAGGTAGTAGCCAGGGCAGCATGGCGTAGGCACAGCTGCATTTGGGATTCCAGGATTACTGCAGTAAACCTCCTGTCAGTGACCCAACACATGCTTCCATAGTGGCATGATGGCATAGCAGCTGTTCCGTCTCAGTCAGGGCTTGGGACAGGAAGCAGTCCCTATGCCCTCTTGGGTCTGTAGTCATCACAGAGGCCTTCCCACGACCGGGAGAAGACAACTGCATCTACTACCCAGGGCCTGAGAGTGGGGGGTGGGGCTTGCCTTCTCTCTGCCAGGATCCTACTTGTTACAGATCAGTTCTGTATAGAGTTCTTGTATCATATATCAGACCAACCAGACACCAGCAAATCTGCTCTTTCTGACATCTCCCCTCAGAGGCTCAGTCTGCCACAGGACAAACCTGTGGTGCTCACAGCCCTGGGCTTCCTGACTGTGACAGTCCTCTGTCCAGCTTTCCCCCAACACCCATGGCCACAGCCAGAGCCTTGCCACTTCTTCCTTTAGCTGTGGCACTCAGGAGTAACCGCTGGGCATTGGCGTCTCTTTCTCTGGAGCCTTGTGAAGTCCTGTCTGCGGCTTGTGGTTTCACCTCTGCCAGCCAGCCCTCTTCTCTCCTGTAGGCATCAAGGTCAGAAGCCACTTCGAACAAATCTGCCTTGGTAGGGCCTGGCCAGTAGCTTTTTAGAAATGCCCCGGGGTCAGACACACTGCTGTGGTGTCGGATGACACGGGAAGGATGCCAGGCCTCACTATTCAGACTCACCGGGCTCTCCTGGTAAGGTACCAAGCCTTCTGGCCTAAGCCACCGTCCAGTGTCATCGTCTCACCATGCCTCCGTCCTAATGCACGGTGCCCGCTGGGCTCAGTTTGGTTCCTGTTCCTGAGTTCAGCTCCATAGACCTACAGCTCAGGCTGGCAGCATGCCAGGGCCCTTCCTCCAGGCCGTGGCTCCTGGCTGTCCCGGGCATCGTGGTACCTTCCTCACTGGGGCTCTCACAGTCCCTCCTCCCAGGCAGGGTTCTCTGCAGTGTTCCTCCAGCCAGGGCCGTGCTTCAGAAACTCTTCTAAGTTTCCGAGACCATTCTCTTCCAATTCCTGCTATTCCTATGGCAGCTGTGCCCACCGACTCACGGGGTCCCAGGGCTCAGCTGCCCTGTCTCTGTTCACAGTGTGTTCTGGGGCTCTGTCCCCCTCAGCTCCCTCACAGGGACACCTTAGGACTTTCCTGCCCCCACTCAGAGGCCCAAGGGCTCCGCTCCCCTGCCCACTGTGAGCATTGGAGCTCCACTCTCTACAACTCACTCCTAGGGGGTCCTTCTTCTACCAACCAGCTGGGCGTGCACGGTGCGGCTCCCTTTCCCAGACTTCCTGCGCCTTGTGCTGTAGCCCCCGCCCCGCCCCCCCCCCCAGCACGAGCCTGCCTACGGACATCACCTCTGTCCTGTCTGCCACAAACTCCTTTCACCTGCTTACTGTTTCTCCATGGGAACATTCTCTCAGCCCCAGGGGTGTGTGTGTGTTTGTGTGTGTGTGTGTATGTGTGTGTGTGTATGTGTGTCAGAGAGAGAGAGACAGAGACAGAGAAACAGAGACCGAGACAGAGAGAGACAGAGACAGAGAGAGACAGAGACAGAGACAGACACACACACACACAGACTAGATTAGGAAGTCAGTAGAGGGTGGGGGTGCAGATAAGAGCTTGTGAGTCAGTGGGAGGAGGGGAGGGAGGAGAGAAGGAGAGAGAGAGACACACACACACACAGAGACAGAGAGACAGACAGAGAGGGAGAGAGAGACAGACAGAGAGAGAGAGAGAGAGAAAAAAGACAGACAGACAGACCTCCAGGATTGGAGATAAGTAAGAGCCAAAGCCTTCCTTCTGGATGATGGTGTGTTGGCATGGCCAGGGGTGACTGTGGGGATGAAGAGAGGACGGGAAGGTGCGGGAGGAGGCGTGGCCAGCGGGGACAGCTGATGACCAGAGCAGTCTGCTGGCCCACTGGGCCGTCTGTAGCCTTGCACTGAGACTGCCAGGCCGATGGGGATGTGATGGGGGCACAGCGGATTCTCAGTGGAGCGGGAAGGGACACTGGAAAGAGTGTTAACGAAAAGACAAGCAGTGACTGGGGATCGAAGGCCGCAGAGCCCCGGAGTGTGAGGGGCAGTGGGCGTGGGGTGCAGCTGCGCACGCGCAGCAGGTCTGTGGGCCATGGCTGCTGTGGGAGGGGATTTTAGGCAGGAGTGCCAACGGCAAGGTCTACGGACTGGAGAGGACTGCCTCGTAACCAGTCCCACTTCCTGTCTCCCTGAGGCGGCAGCGGCGGCTAACCCTGGAGAGTCCCATCTCGGGAGGGCGCTGGCCTCCAGTGTGGATAGAGAAAGGGACCCAGGAGAAGGCAGTGAGCCGCGGCTCGCTTGGCTTGAGATGGGAGGGTGGTGAGAAGCCCGCATGGACGGATCTTGGACGCGTGTGGTTATACGGACGTCCATAATCCCAAAGGTCGAAAGGACCCTAGTGCTTTTGATGCTCGTGCAGTACGTGGCCATGGCCAAGTGTCACCTTACACAGCCAGGGTCTGCTGGCCCCAGATCATCTCCAGGAGTCCTATGAGGAACTTTAAGATGGGGCTTAAAGCCAGGGGCTAGTTAAGTCTCCTGAGACCCAATTGGAAGAGGAGCCAGCTGTGGTCAGAACGGCCCCTCAGCACCCAGGTAGACAGGAAGAGAGACAGTGAGCCTGACCTGGGAACACCCTTGAACCTCACCGGCGTCCACCTGCCTGTCCTGTGTCCATCCCTTCCTGTGTCATGTGCCGCCACACCCCCCGCCCCCTCCCCACACCGCCACACACATACACTTCAGCCTAGGCGTGTCTGAGTCTGTAGTGGGCATCCAAGACCCTAGAGATGAAGTGAGGAGCTGAGACCAGAGGCGAGGACCTGACCTGTCACCCATCCAGCCAGGGTTCAGATCCCTGCTCTCTGCAGGAAGGTCAGCCCTAGTGGGCTCCCTCTGATACAGATACCCCAGTTCAGCCAAGGATCATCCCAGGAACTAAGCAAGCTCAAGCGAAGGCTTGGCTGTACCCCACGAGAGCTTCCCGTGAGCTGATCTGGGCCACAGGTGATTCCTTCCATCCCGAGCAACTGTTTTGAGTGAGACAGCCATGCCCCGTGGCTTCTGCAGCAGAACATCTCCCGAGTCCCACACTGTGAACACGAAAGAGTCTGCCTCACCCCTTAGACACTAGACGGAGATTCTGAGCCAGTGGGGCGGGGCTGAGCAGACCCAAGCCAGGGTGAGCTCTGTCACCCTCCCCACGGTGGGGGGTGGGGTGGGGTGGGGGGGCGGCTGCCTCCTGCGCTTGCAGCCAGCCTGGGCCTGACCTTGACCAGGGTCAGCTGGCTCCAGAGGAGCCTGGCTGTATACACACACGTCAACCTGAGACCAGGAACTGTCCTGGCCTCACGCGCCTCACATGTGTGTGTGTCAGTCCTGCAGCTTCCGGAGGTCCCGTTCTCACTCGTGTCCCCCCCCCCCCCCCTTCTCGTCCCAGCACCACAGACGTGCACACAGTGGCCTCCCTGCTGAAGCTCTACCTCCGGGAGCTCCCAGAGCCCGTCATCCCTTTCGCCAGGTATGAGGACTTCCTCAGCTGCGCCCAGCTGCTCACCAAGGACGAGGGGGAGGTCAGTGCCTCCCGGGACACACCGTGGGGGTGGGATGCGGGGGCAGTCGGCTTGTGGCACATAGGCCCTGGCTGGAGGGCAGGGGGGCTGCGATGTGGGGGAAGGTGGGTCCCCAAGTGCTGTGCAGTCTGTGTAGGACTCTAATTGTCCAGCGTTTGTCACAGAAGTAGAAAGGGGGTGGGCTGGAATGTGGGTCCCTCTTAACGCAGGGTGCCCGGTTCTGGCCACGTCACAGTGGGTGCTTCTGTTTCGCCATGGTCTCCCACTGTTGAGACAGAGGAGCCCTGGTACCTGTTTTCTGAGACAGCTCCCAGGACGGCTACGGGCCCCCTCCCCTCCACCCTCCGCCCTCCTAACCTTGCTGGAGCTATCTGCAGCTCTGAGCTGCTGCAGCCGAAAGGCTGTTTGCCTTCTCTGTGACTGTGTGGGGGTGAGCGTTGTTATCTGGCAAATATTTGTGCCCTGATAAGTGAGCTGAGACATTCCTCTGTGTCCTTGCAGAGGCTCACCCCTCACTCCAGCTCCCTGAAATGGAGCAGTCTACTCAAGAGGTCACAGCCACAGTTTGGAGGGATGGAGGAGGCCAGCTGGGACTGGCCACGCATCCCTCCCTCCCCCTGTCGTGCCTTCCTCCAGTCAGGGGTGTCTGAAACTCTTGTGTTCTCTTTCTTTCACAAGGGGACTCTGGAGTTGGCTAAACAAGTGAGCAACCTTCCTCAGGCCAACTACAACCTGCTCAGATACATCTGCAGGTGAGCGGCCTGTTGGGTGGGAGTGGGGCTCCACAGGCTCCGTGCTCATTCCTTCCACCCCTGGAGAGACAAAACTGTACAGAGGGACCACTCACCCTCTCAACACTGCCTCACTAAGTGTGGGGAGGACACAGAGCCGCAGGGGGTGGTCAGTTGGCGCGTCCTTTCAGAAGGAACCTGCCCTATGCCCATCTGGGTACCTCTCACATCCCCTCCCCACGGGTGCACACCCCTAAAAAGGTGAGGCGTACACCCTCGCGTATCCACATTCTGGGTGCTGCAGGGGTGACGCTCAGTGCCAGGTGGGATGGCATTTGCCTTCTACGCCGAGGATGACCATATCTTGTCCCTTGGTCTCTGTTTATCATGGTATTCTTAGGTCTCAGGAACGCTTTTCAATGATGACATACAGGTGCACCTGACTGTACCCAGCAGCCATGGAAAGCCTGGGAGGCGTGGCTGAATGTGGGGACAGGAAGGGGCCTGAGGGCGCAAAGATGGGTCATGTGGAGAGGCTGGAGGCAAAGGGTGTGACTGGAGAGCGTGACTATGTGGAGGCATGGGTTGGGTGGCTATGGGCTGTGGCTGGGTATTGGGGGTAGCACGAGAGTGTAGTGGGTGGTTAGGTGTAGTGTAGCCGAGTGGGTGTGGATGGGGTGGGGTTTGTGTGGATAGGGCTGGGCTTTGGCTGTGCATAGCTGTGACGGGGGGGGGAGGGGGAGGGCTCATGGAAGCATAGGTGTGCAAGGCGTGGTAAGGAGGACTGATGGGGCGTGAGGCAGAGCACGTAGCGTGCCAGGAGGCTGGCAGAGTTGGTGCGGTGTGGTGGGTGTATCTGAGGGGTGTGGCTAGGAGCGTTAGTGTGGTGGGGGCGAGGTGGTGGTGTAGAGTGGAAATTATGAAGTAGGTATGGGGTGGACTTGGTGGGGTGTGGCACAGTGGGCGTGACCAGGCAGGGCTTGGCGTTCACAGTAGATTGGAGTTCAGAATCTGCTGCCTCGCCAATTGCTCCTTTTCTCTTCTGCAGGTTTCTGGATGAAGTGCAGGCCCACTCAAATGTCAACAAGATGAGTGTCCAGAACTTGGCAACAGTCTTTGGCCCTAACATCCTTCGGCCACAGATAGAGGATCCAGTGACCATCATGGAAGGTAAGAGGGAGGTCCCTCGGCAGAGCCAAAAGCGTTTGGACTTGTGTTAGTCACCAGCGCATCCTTAGAAGCAGCACAGCTCAGGGCCAGGCCAGGGGACAGTAGCTGTCCTGTCTCCATCGTCAGTCGAAGCAAAGAGCTGCCCGCGTTCGCGTAGGAAAGGCCAGTCGTTGATGTGCTCAGACCTACTAGATTCTGTTTCCAGGTCCATCCCGCCGCCCATCATCCTGCGGCATGATGAGCTTCCTGTCGGCATGGCATCTACCTCTACTGGACGGACAGAGCCATGCTTCCTCCATGCTCGGGGAATTTGTGGGCACAGTCCTCCCTGTGCCTGGTTCTGGCTGATGTGACGGTCCTCTTTCAGACGCAGGTGGAGGTGCCCTGCCGGAACAGGCATCCTATGACTGAGCTGTAGCTGACCGCGAGTGTGTTAGAGGCGTGGGCTGGGCTCTCCCTGCCAACCTCCCCTCTCTGTCTCACAGGCACTTCCTTGGTTCAGCATCTGATGACGGTCCTCATCCGCAAGCACGGACAGCTCTTTGCCGCAGCCTCCCTTGAAGAACCTGCTTCCCCGCCTGCCGCTGTCCAGCGCACAGTAGAGTGGGGCTCCGAAGAGGTCTCCAGTGACCACCAGGGTGAGCCTGGCAGCCCTGGCTTGCCCACACACAGGACCTCGTCTCTGGATGGGCCAGCCGCAGCAGTACTCTCTAGAACTTCTCCCCAACACCTCGGCAGCCAGACAGGTCCTGCAGCCACCAGCCCCGGGAAGAGGATGCATAGTCTGCCTGGCTGGAAGCCCTCCTTCCGGCAGGGGTCCCGGTCAGAGAGCCCAAAGGGGGGCAGTTCGTCCTTAGAGGTACCCATCATCTCTGGTGGGAACTGGCTCATAAACGGGCTATCCTCTCTGCGCGGCCACCGTCGGGCCTCATCAGGGGACCGGCTGAAGGACACAGGCTCCGCGCAGAGACTCTCCACCTATGACAATGTGCCCCCATCCAGTCACTTTCCTAGCACTGCCAGCATGGCCAGCATGTTGTGGTCTGTAGCCTCCTCGTCGCGAGAGGCCTCTGTTAGCAGCTGCACAGCCTGCCGGGCCAGCGACTCCTCCGCCTGCAGCTCCCTACACACCGAGTGGGCTCTTGAGCCCTCTCCCCTTGCCAGTAGCAGTGAGGACCACAGGTCACCAGACCTGGGCCACAGCCTGGACGAGGCGTGTGTGGGCAGCGGCAGCAGTGAGCCCAATGACCCGGGCAGCCCCACACAGGCTCATGCCCACCGCTGCCGGGCTCTCCAGGACCAAGTGGACGAGCTCAGGGCAGAGCTGTACCAACAGAGGACTGAGTACGAACGGAGTCTGAAAAGGTAAGGGCCAAGCGTATGCCAGCTACTTTCTCAAGCTGCAGGGGGCAGGGCTTGGAGCAGCCAGCCTCCAGGCTGTCTTTCTTGGAAAATGACCCTGGCATGTTCAGGCTTGGGAGTGGGTCAGCCAGCAGGCCTCCACAAATGCCTACCGAGGGCTTTGGGACGAGGGGGAATGTCAGATGGCCCGTAGAACGGGAGTCAGGAGCCAGGTGGCTCTGCAGGGTGCAGTGGGTGAGAACAGAACCTGAATCACTGGGCGTGGCCGCAGAGAGGCTGCCCAATGTACAAGCCAGCCAACTCCTGGGGCCTGTGGCAAACCTTGATGTCTCCGTTCCCTATCTACATAGGCCCCTCTCTGGGAAGAATGGGGGGGCAGGCACAATGGGGGCCCTTGTAATGCTTGGACAGAGTAGTCTGGGCTGCTTGGAAGGAGCTTACAGTGAGGGTGGTCTCTGGCACAGGAAGGAAGGGAACCTCGACCTGTGTCCCGTCCAGCAGCTTTGGGAATATGCCTCTGTTGGCATACATAGAGTCCCATTCTGCCTCCTGTCATCCAATCTCTGCCATTCCAGTGTTCCCTTAAGAGAATCTCTTGTCTGTGAAATACAGATAGTGCTCTGGATGTTGGGAACACAGCTATGCCCCAAACACATCAGAATTCCCTGCCTCACTCATGTCTGGGGGCATCAGGATGAGACCATGCACATAATTCACCAGAAATACATGACATGCTAAAAAGTGGATAAAGGGCAGTAAAACTGGGGAGGAAGGAGACCTCCTCGAGAGAGGGTAGGAAGGCTTGGGCTTAGGGGTGCTCGCCTTGAGCAGGGTAGCAGGGCAGGGGCCTTGAATCTGGGTGAGGCTTGGTCTTAGTTAGAGGATGGTGAGTGTGAAGAAATTGGGGGACCGTCTCAAGGACTTTGGCTCCTCTGATAAGAAAGCTCACTGGAGGTCCAGTAGGAACCAACTAGGAAGCCACAGGACTCTAGACCCTTGGGGGTGACACGGGCCACAGGCAATAGCGGAGCTGGGAGAAACAGGAATCCTTGGCACGTTCCAAAGATGGATTGGATGGGCCTTGCTCATCAGTATGGGTGGGAAGAGCTCATCTGACATGAAGGCTTTAGAGCTGAAGGGAGGAGCTATAAGCAGGTGCTTCTTGGGCAGGAGAACTAGCTGGGATGGGGCATGGCTTGAGGAAGCTGTCAGGAGCTCCATGTTAGACTCATACACAGGCCAGGAGCTTAATTGGAGGGCATAGCATCAAGAGCTTGGACAAGGTGATGTGACAGGCGTAGCGTAGACAGGGAAGGGAGGCCTGAGCAAGGAGAGGACAGCAAAGAGGGACGGGGGACAGAAGAGAAGCCAGCAGGACCTCAGTGCCATCCTCCACGAGGCCCCTTTCTGACAGCATGCCCTTACTGTGGTGGCGGGAGCTCACCTTTCTCTAAGCATTGTGCTGGGTGTCTGGGATGGAGGGAGGCTGGTACCCAGCCCGCAGACACACTGTTGGCTGGGCTTTGCTGCATGCACGTGGCTCCTGTGTGGCGACCACGGTGCTCTGGGGAGTGTGTGTGTGTGTGCGTGTGGCGGGGCGGGGCGGGAGTCACCTCTGCATTTCAGAGGATGCTAGCCTCAGTGTCATCTGCTTGTGAATGCCATGGAGCTCTGATGTTGTGTAGCCTCTGATGTTGCTAGATCTGCAGGGTGGTCATGGGAGGTGACCCCAAGGAGGACGTGAAGGGCAGGCAGGGATTTCCTCTGGGTTTATGTTCCTCCAGAGCACTGCATAGACAGCAGCAGGAGGCGTGGGCAAGTGTACAGGAAGAAAGGTCAGGGCACCTCTGCTCCCCTTGCTGGTGGCAGGTGATTCCTCACTAGGACAGTTGACAGGGCTGGAGGGACAAAAGGCTGTATCTGATGAGGATACTGCTAGTCCCAGTACGAAGGCAGGCATCCTTAGGGTGTCCTTTCCAGGTCACAAATCCAAGGAAGCCTCTCTGTAGGGAGCCCCCACGGACTTGCAAGGGTGGGCGAGGCCGAGAGACCGCTCCCTGAAGACCCCTTCCACCTCCCTGCCTTAGTGAGACTCAGGGCCCTTCCTGCTGTGGCAGTGCTCCTGGTAGGTGGAGCCTGAAACTCCCTCTTGTTGATTTTCAAGCATCGAGGAGGGCAGTGCTGACTTGCGGAAGCAGATGTCCCGGCTGGAAGAGGAGCTGGACCAGGAGAGGAAAAAATACACCATGCTGGAGATAAAGCTTCGGAACTCGGAGCGGGCACGTGAGGACGCAGAGCGCAGGAACCAGCTGCTGCAGAGGGAGATGGAGGAGTTCTTTGCCACCCTGGGAAGCTTGACTGTCGGGACCAAAGGGACCAGAGCCCCAGAGTGAAGGGAGTAGAAGTATGTCTGAATGTGTCCGCTCACTCTCCCTGCAGGGCTGGCCACAGACTGCAGAGGAAGCCAGAAGCTTCAAGTTTGGGTCTGGCCACCAGCAGGGCCATCTGTCCCCAAGCACCACATAGAAAGAGCCTGACGCCCCCACAGGGACTGTCAGGATCCCACACAGTCCAGGCAGGATCTGGATGCTTCTCCAAACCTATGGGTCCCAGCAGGTGTCAGGGGACAGTGCCAAGATCAGCAGTAGCCTCTTACCCAGGAAAAGTCCCCAGTGGCCATCCAAAAGGATGGTACCTGAGAGCAGGGCCACCGCCAAGAACTTAACTCGTTATTAAATGTGCTCTGAAAGCATGGCGCCTGCCACCAGCCTCCTTCTTCACGTCTGTGCCAAGTGGAGTTTACCAAGTGAGATGTTTCTTGAAAGGTTGAACGTCTCCTGGGTGAAGTCCCCTAAGGGTCCCGGCACTGTGGTCCCTTCAACTCTCCCACCTCAGAGCCTCTGGATACTTCTTGCTCCCTCTGTGTAGCTTCAGCTCTGCTCCAGAGGTCAGGCTGGGCCTGCAGGAGAGCAGAGCTGGTCCTCTGGATGTCTCCCACTTTACCCCAGGCCTGGCCCACCTTGCAGATATGGGAGTTAGAGGGGCCGTGTAATTTCCGTGTCTTCCCACTCTAGACATCCTCAGACCTCAAACTGCCCCTCCCCCCATTCCAGGCAGCTCAGACGTATTATGGTAGCTGCAAACAAAATACAGGAACTGTTTACAGCTGGTGTGGCATGAGAGCCGATCTAGCTAGAGCAATGGGGACCCGAGACAGCTGGTCACATATCCACTAGCCCATGGGCCTTCCTCTGGGAACATCCCAGAAATGCCCAGATGTCTCTCCTCTGTTTCTAAATCCAGTCTCAAACAGACAATGAAAACTGATCACCACGCAGGCCTGGCGGGGAGACGACCAGCCTCGCACAGAGTGTTGTCACCGCCTCTCTTTGGTCTTATCACACGCGTGGCCTCTTTCCCCCTTAAGCAGTAACCTACGGTGACTGGGGTGTGTGTGGGGAAGGGAGTGTGTGTGGGGGGTGCTAAAGAGGCCATCAGGGCAGCCCAGCTTCTGATTGCCATGTGGAAAGGGCATGAAGCCCGTCTTCCTGTCTGGTCGCACGTATCATACCTGTCAACACCTGGTCAGAAGAACAGCCAGGTCACAGAGCTCCCAGGTAGCACTGGCTACTGATACAAGGCCATGTGCTCCCACCCTGACCCCCAGAGGTGAGGCGGACGGGCATCTGACCTCTTACTGTCCTTAGGAAGCTAACTGAAGATTTCTACAGCGAGGGTTCCTGCCAAGGACCCTCCTAGCACCAGAGGTCAGGGGCGGTGTCCCTGGGAGCCAAGGGGTCAGTGGAGATGCTGGTCTATGCTATGGCATGCTGCTGCAGCCAGTCTGTATTCCTTGCCCCAAATGTAAAACATCACCCTCCCCTGTATTCAGAGAGGAAAGGCTAAAGTGACTTTAATTCCTCAGTTCCTCCCACATGGCTATATAGAGATTGGTCCTTATCGCCTCCGTGGGAGGGGAAACAGCCTGGGAGAAGGTAGGTGGACCACCAGCGCATTCCCACGGTCCCTCTGTGTCCCCTCACCACAGTCGTAGACTTGTGCTGAGTTCACCTGAAGGGGAAAATGCCACCAGCTCATCAAAAGAGCTTCCAGGACCAGAGTCTCAGGAGGAAAGGCATTCATTCTAATCACAGCAAAGGCCAACTGCCTGCCCGTCCAACAGGGAAGACAGTTCGCAAGTCAAGGCTGCCACCTGCTGGCAGAATGGATCTAGGCAGGTACAACCTTGATGGGAAACTTGATGGACAGACAGCTCTGAGGGCTCTGTTTCCGCCTGTGTGTTGAGCTGTCCGCCTATCTAGACTTGTGACCCGAGGCTCATCCATGGTGGAACTTTGTCCTTTTCTCCCCTTCCCAATAGGTTGTGGCTATGCAAACACTCCCATGCCTAAAGTTTGCAGCCATACTCAGACTAGAGTAACCCCACTTAATATTCAAGTCCAACAGTGAATCGTGAGCATGAGCAGATGGGGTGAGTTTTGTTTTTCATCTGGTGAAGTGCTGAATAAGGAGTGAGCAGAGGCCATCGCTACAAACATCAAGCTAATGAGGGATGAATCATCACCAACTGCTTAACAAATTAGGATTCCGACCACAGGTTACTTCAGGCAGGTCTCAAAATTTGGTTTTGGGGCAGGAGAGATGGCTCATTGGTTAGGAGCACATAGTGCTCTTCTAGAAGACCAGGATTTGGTTCCCAGCACCTACAGGTGTACCTTGAAGGGGACTTGGGGACTCTGGTCCTTCCTCTTTGCTTCAGGGTCCATTGAGTTTTTTCTTCACCATGTCCTCTTCTGTGATGTGCTGCCTTGCCATAGGCCCAAAGCATCTTAGCTAACCAATCATGGCTGGACCCTTTCCCCCAAACTGTGAGCCTAAATGGATATTCTCTTTATAATTATCTAGGGCATTCCACCGTAGCAATGCAGAGCTGACCAAGGCAGGGAGAAGACAAGAATGCAGTTGGCGGTGGGTAGTCTGCCGGGCCAGATGGAGGGACCAAGCCAGCAAGCATTCGCTCCACTGACACGAACTGGCTTGCGTTTATACAAGGCCTGCATTTCGGCCATGGCAGTGTGCACAAGTGGATGCAGGAGTACCAGTCAAAGGCGTGGCACTGGAGGAAGGGGAGGAGAACGGGAGGATGCCGGCACATCCTTCTACATCCTCCTGTGGACGGAGAGGCGGGGGGTTCTTACAGGCAGGAATTAACAGGGTCTGGTGGCATACAGCTGACATGAGGGGTGAGCCTGAGACAGACCTCATGGGGAGTCGGCAAATGGGAGGAGAATGGAGAAGCTGGCCAGAGAGGACACAGGAGCCAGAGGAGGCAGGGGGAACGCACATGGCTGTCTGGGGTTCTGGGAAAGGAGGGAGGCACTTACCTTAGCATCCTGTGAAGAGGAAACACGTGGCTACTTTCTCAGACAGAGGGCCTGCCCAGAGCAGAGCCTGACCTCAGAGGCCTTCACCAACTGGCAGTTGAGACCTGTTGCCCCAGGACAGGCCAAAGTCTGTGATGGCATCTGACATCTGTCTCCAGACGACCATGAGTTGCATTTTGGAGTCATATTTGGAAGATCACAGCGCAACCATGAAGTTGTAAATCACAACCCTGACCTCACCCAACTGGCAAGCTGCCAGAGCTGGCTCCACCCCAGGTCAGCAGCTGCCCGAAGAGTTGAGGCTCCCCGTTGGCATCCTGTTCCCGTTTTACAGCTTGTTTCTGGTGTCTGTTGGTCCAGGCGATGTGGGGGCCTTTGAGGAGGTTGAGTCTACTGGCTCTGCTGCCCTGTGAGCCTGAGTCCCAGGTTAGAATTTCCTCCCAGCACTAGCATTTGCTGCCTATCAGATCCTTTGGGGTGTATTTACCTTAAGACCTGGCTGCTATTCAAATAAGAGTGACCATGGTGAGTCAAACTGAAGACGTCTACAGACTGAACCTCTACTGGAAATGACAGACAAGTATTTGCCAATGGTGCCCTATATACTGCTCCACCTGTGTGGATGCCCATTTTCCCCCTTTTTTAAAAACTTAAATTAGAAACAAGCTTGTTTTACATGCCAATCCCAGTTCCCTCTTCCTCCCTTCCTCCCCTGCCCCCTGTCAGCCCCCATCCCATCCCCTTTCTTCTCCCCAGGGAGGCTGAGGCCTTCCATGGGGGATCTTCAAAGTCTGTCATTTCATTTGGAGAAGGGCCTATGGCCCTCCCCCATGTGTAGGCTGAGAGAGTATCCCTCTATGTGGAATGGGCTCCCAAAGTCCATTCCTATACTAGGGATAAATACTGATCCACTACTATATAGGTATATTCCTGTTATCCCTGACCTCTCCAAGACCTTTATCATGAAGGGGTGTTGGATTTTTAAGCAGCTAGTGAGATGGTCACATGGTTTTTCTTTTGCAGTTTATATGGTGGATCTGATAGATTTTCATATGAACCATCCCTGCATCCCTGGGATGAAGCCTACTTGATCATGATGGATGATTTCTCTGATGTGTTCTTGATTTGCCAGAATTTTATTGAGTATTTTTCCATCAATGTTCATGAGGGATATTGGTCTGTGGTTCTCTTAGTTGTGTCTTTCTGTGGCTTTGGTACCAAGGTTATTGTAGCCTCGTAAAAAGTTTGGCAATGACCCTTCTGCTTCTGTTGTGTGGAACACTTTGAGGAGTATTGGAATTAGCTCTTCTTTGAATTTCTGGTAGAATTCTGCACTGAAACCATCTGGCCCTGGGCTTTTTTGGTTGGGAGACTTTTAATAACTGTTTCTATTTCATTAGGGGCTATAGGTCTGTTTAAATTGCTCATCTATTCTTGTTAATTTTGTAAGTGATATCTATCCACAAAGTTGTCTATTTCCTTTAAATTTTTGAATTTTGTGCCTCCCTGGTTTTTTGTTTTTCCTGAGACAGGGTTTCTCTGTGTAGTTTTGGAGCCTGTCCTGGAACTCACTCTGTAGACCAGGCTGGCCTCGAACTTAAGAGATCTGCCTGCCTCTGCCTCCCCAGTGCTGGGATTAAAGGCGTGTGCCACCAATGCCTAGCTCCCTGTTTGAGAAAACAGCGAATGCCATGGGTAAGGCCATAGACTATGACTAGAGGCCAGGATCCTATTTTGGGCGTATTACACTGCCATTACTGCAGTAATTTCACACTGTATGCAGTATCTTGTGCCGCATTTTGAGAACTATGAACACTGCATTGTCAGAAGTCTGTCATGGGCTTATGTGGTGATATTTTGTTTATGCTATTAACACATAAAGCTTGCCTGAAGATCAGAATGCAGAGTTAAGTCATTAGTTATCCATACAGGTCAGGCAGTGGTGGCACACACCTTTAATCCCAACACCCTGGAGACATCCTGGTCTATAAATAATCAAATCTGTCTAAAAGAGAATCAGGGCTCACACAAATGTGATGCCAGCACCTGGGATCATATGCCCTTAATCCCAGCACTAGGGAGGTGGAGAGAGGAATATAAGGTGAGAAGAGACAAGAGCTCAAGAGACAGTCTGAGGATTCAGTCTGAGAGGCAGTCTGAGCAGCAGCCAGTCTGAAGCAGACTGAGGACAGGATCTCCCCTTTGGTCTGAGCATTGGTAGAGGTTAGGACTTTAGTGGCTGGCCTCACTGCTTCTCTGATCCTTCAGCTTTTACCCCGATAGCTGACTCTGAGTTTTTATTATTAAGACCAAAGGTAACTTGTACAATAGGTTTACACAGCACTTG